GGGGGGAAGCATTTGCAGTTGTCGACTATCAAACACGGAAACATAGAGGTAGTGTGAGTAAAGACGATGGAAGGATACTTTACTCAGCTGAAATTAAAATGACAAGTGAGATCTCCAAAAGTTTTATCTTTTAAAAATGTTGGTGCTTTTGTACGCTCCCATCGGCACAAATTAGATCATTTAGATGGTGGGTCTCGACTCTGCCTGTCAGGGCCAATACTGACTGAAACGGATACAACGTCCCAGCAGAAATATCGAATTACTCGAAAAAAAAATTCTCCTCACACGTAAATCGAACTCGGGTCATCTGCGTGCGACGGCGAAGCGCCTTATCGCTACACCATATCGCCGGTGCGAAAGCTCAGTTACAGACAAGGAGAACATTAGGTTTGAAGTTGTTTCGGTTGGTGTTTAAGTCATTTCAAGGCGCAAATGGTTTGTTTGGAAGACGTCCCTTGTAAAGAAGCTTTTCTGGACTTAAAAAGATCCAAGGGGACGAACTATTTCCTGAAAAGGCACTCCCAGATCTACTCAACTCTAGAAATAAAAACATTCACGACCTAGTTGTCGCAGTACTCACCCGGTGAATATACACTGTTTAAGACAACGATACAGTATTCTGAGAATAGGCGTGTAAAAGAGGCAAGTAGGATGTCACATGAGGACTCTGACACCACCATTGAAGAGGAAGTGTCCACGTGAAAAGTGAGACTAAGAACACGATGGTCCAGGCAGTACCAGAGTGGCAGGGTAATAAGAACACATATCTCCTCCCCAGGGAAGACTTATGGTGACCAGCACTGACAATAGAGTAACTTTGTTCAAGAAATGCAAGGTACAATTTTCTCAGCATGTCATCCCTTCCCCCTCCCTCAAACTCTAAATTAACCCTTTTTTAGGGTACCCCGACTGCATTACAAAAGAAGAAGAGGGAAAACAGCAGAATATCGAAAGAGTCTCACCCACGACGTCCCGAGGTCACCGAGAGGTCACCAGACACACGTAGATTGGCTTGATCTACCAACGCCGCGGCAGCTTCATGCTCGGTCACCCTGGCAACAGTTTCACCGGTGTTCCGAGCCACTATAATAGAAGTGACGTACTGCACGTTGGTAGCCGTCTGTGTGACGTCACGACGACCCACCACTGGTGCGGTCAGTGATGGGGTGGTGTCATCCAAGCTACAGCGCAGGGTGGTAGAGCGAGTCAAGTTTGTTTGCACCACTTCAGAGGAGGCGTTCAAGACAATGATTGAACCTAAAAGTTTTGTAAATGAAACGTATTTATTAAGTTTAGTGGACAGGACTTCTGTGTGGTGGTTTGGCTTTATACAGAAATCTTAGTCTAGCGGAATGGCTTGGAAGTGCAGGGTGATAAAAAAACAAGAGCTGTACAACTGTTTTCCTAAATATCTCGCACAAAATTAGTACTAGAATGTTCGCAATATGGAACAGATATAATTCGTCAAAAGGAATTTGTTTGACATAGAATTCGCCAAAAATAAAACAACCTATTTTCGAAAATGGAAATGGCTTTTATAAAAACCACCTAAAAATGCAAACTGGACCAATTAAAAAGATCTGTAAGGAAAGTCATGAAATGATTGGGGGTTTTTTCCTTTCCTTTTATTTTCAAAGTTTAATATATCCATCGCTGTAACCTTTAAACAAACCAAGAATGTTTCTCCTACAGCGTTAAAAAATATTTTTTACATTCTGGAATTCAGAGAACCAATTGTCTATATGTCCTCCCTTGGACTCGACACATTTTAACGCGCCGTTCGGAATGTTCAGTGGTGGCCAAACACAAAGATCCACTCAACCATGAATACTCAAAGCCACGCACTGTACACCTTACGGTATGGAGCTGTTTCTAGGGACAATGGGGGGGGGGGGGGTCAGGTTGCCCAAATAGATAGCATTTGTGGAGTTGGTATAACCTGAAAGGTGAATAAGGGCTTTGCCAAGGAACCAAGTGTCATAGAGGAAATGTCCACGCTTTTTAAAAAGGTCAAGGTTTTTGGCTGGTACAGTGGTCCGAATATGGTACTGCCTTCTTTTTGCTTCGCATGGTCATTTCACTGAGGTATTAGAAAACACAGGAAGTGATTTCATTTGAACCCCTGGAAGCAACGTACTCTGGCCAAACATAACAAAACGCATCCTTTGTGCCATGGTCATACACCATAAGGTTATAACTATTCAATTTTCTCAAGCAATATGCTGCGCTGATGTTGGTTTTGGGTGTTGGAAGGAACTCCTCCAGATCAATGACAGCTGCAGCTTGTTTTGGATCCTTTTGGGAAACCCCTTTGTCATTTTCGTTTTAGTTGAACACTTGCTGTTTGGATAGAATTTGTGCATCGTATTTTTCTTGGAGGCTTACTCTTTCCTCATCTAGACACGTTTCATACCTGTTAAAAACGGCACATCTATCCTTTGATCATTGGTGGAAGCTTAAATTGAATTCAGAACGAAAGATATCACTGTAGATCCGTCTAGATGCCCATTGCTTTCCGTCATTCTTTCTTAGCCCTATGTACATGCGATGCATTAGACACAAGCTGAGGTTGCTTTCCAAATATTGTTTTCTTGAGTTACGACAACAACGATAGCTTTCAACCCTGTTGAACGAGTTTATGTGTTGACGTATGGCTTCCGTTTCTTCTTCGTATTCGTTACATCTCCTCCTTTGCTGTCCGCGTCGTTCCTCGCTGGCACAACCTATTTTATTCACAATAAGAAAAGCAGTTTTCACCATCTGCTCCAATATGTGCAACGTACCTAAGGAAAAGGTTTTGCACACTCTGTGAACTTCTTGATTTTCTGAGGTAAAGGTTATGTAAATGAGTACTGCTTCTTCTTTGAGTTGTTCGTGCCCTTTAGGTTATTCACTGTTGTTTCCTTTTTTGTAATGTGGTGGAGTAGGTAGTCCCTCTGACGTGTCAAATCTCCTAATTTTGAAAACTGAGAAAAGGTTTTGTATCTTCCACATTGGGGAAATTTGCTGTGACATTTGAATCTGCGTTCAGGGCCGCATCCCGCTTTTCAACAATGCACAGATCGATATATAAATAAAAAATGAGTACCTTTACTCCTCATGCCTAAAAATTATCATTTGACTAATCAATACAAATCAAGGTATCAAAGTCCTCGCCCATAGTAAGAGGACAATGGACAGTGGCAATCGGTTGTGCTGTGAAAAAGCTGCTTTATCTAGTAGTAGTAGCCTTAGTTTATGAATAAAATCCCAGATCTGTATCGTGGGAGCAAGGTCATAGTAATGTATTGTTTCAACTGAGTTAATTTATTGTTAGCCTAAACTGTATTCTTTTTGTTTCAAGCAGCAATCATACTTTGTTCGAAAGCTTCATGTTGCCTCGGTGTTGTTCTATTCTTAGAATACTTACACGGCTTGTCAGCTGACAGTCATAGTGTGGAACGATAAATTTTCATTCATTCAGGCAAAAGTGCACAACTATCTTATTCAGTATAATATTTTGTAAGTACGGTGCACTGTGAAGGTTGAATTGCGGGGCACAATTATCTCAAGCAAACCTAAAGCCCGACACTCACTAAGCAGTTAAAAGGGTGCGCCCGTCTTGAGATGGTGTCAAGACCAACTGAACGCGATCTCAAGATGATCTCAAGATGATCTCAACACCAAAATCCGGACTGCTCAGTTTAAAATCTCAACAAACCGTGAGATCGCTTGAATTCAGAACGAGCCTGAACATTATCTGTCGGATCGGAAATCGGGGTACTCGACGCTAAAAATAAAAGGGTGCCAAAGTAAAACTTTTGCAAATCTGACTTCAGAATTTTCATCAGCGTCAAATTCTAGTAGGATTTGATACGGAACCCTGCTATCAAACGTTTGATGTAGTAATGTTAATAAATTATTCTTTGCATGAGCCAGCTAGTTTTTTTTCAAAGACAGTATGCGGTTGAATGGTATTGAATGCTGAAGAAAAATCTTCGTATACGAGGGTACTTTTTGTTTTTTTTCCTCAGTATTCATTACAATTTAACCGCATATTGTCATTTAAAAACAATTAAGTCAATTGTTGTCATTATATCGCAGCATGGGTCCTGGAACTTTGGACGGTCAGACCACAATAATTTTTGTTAATCTGAACAACACAAAATCTGACCCAGTCCTGCAAGAACAGACAGATATATAGAAATTCATTTGTACCAACTGCAATCAGGTTACTGAACACGCAGTGCTACAAATAAAACATAGAGAGAGATAGATAGGTAGAGAGAGAGAGAAAGAAAAAAAAGGAGAGAGAGAGAGAGAGAGGGATAGAGAGAGAGAGAAAGAAAAAAAAGGAGAGAGAGAGAGAGAGAGGGATAGAGAGAGAGAGAGAGAAAGAAAAAAAAGGAGAGAGAGAGAGAGAGAGAGAGAGAGAGAGAGAGAGAGAGAGAGAGAGAGAATGTTTACGGAGCGTGTTGTTTCAGCACATGAGACATGTCACATGTATTTTTCTAATGTCATGTCTTGTTGTGCGTGTGTGTGAGTGCACCACATCCACTGTGATTGCAAGGAACTGATAAATAATAATTGCTCTACAGGTTTCTGGAATTATTCTGCCCAAAGCTTACGTGAAATACACATACTGGACTTCAGATCTTCATAAAAATGTTCTGTCAGTCGCAAAATACCTCAAAGATGACGTCAGCCTTTCGTGGGGTGATATTGCCTGTCGCATTTTCGTGTTCTGTTTTTCTATAAGGAGACCTACTATCTGAAGCAATTGATGATATGTGTCCTCGTCCATACGTAAATACTTTGTGTAATCGGCAGAGTACAATGTCAATTCCTTTAAAAGGTGCGTGTGGGTGAATTTCTCCCGCTCAAGAAGCCATTGTTTGCACCATAATTATTTCGCCTTTTTTCTCTAGAGAAACAGATTTCTACTTAAAACTATGCAGGCTGCAGCAGCTTCACTTTGGGTGGGAGCCATTATGATAATCTGCTGGCCTGTGTAGTGTGTGGGCACAAATGAGATCGCTCATGGATCCGATTGTCTTGAGATCATCTTGAGACCATGTTGAGAACATCTCGAGATCATTTTGAGACCGTCTCGAGATCATCTTGAGATCGTCTTGAGATCGGGAACTGCGAAGTGAGTGGCGGACTTAAGATGAGATAGTTTGCCCATTGTAGGACCTCTTCATTCACACCTTGCTTGCACAATCATCTCAAGTCGCGAGTAGAGATACTTGTCAGTTTAAAAAAATCAAGTTTGATGCTTACGGGCTTTTGTCCCATATCTTGAAAAGTTCTTTATAGAAAGGTTCGATATTTCGTGAGAAGATACGCCTTTGGTAAAGATGAAAAAAAAAAAAACGATTTCGGACTTGAGATACTTGTATCTCTCAGGGTCGATGTAGTAAAGTCATTGTTGCAAATATCTCATCTACTGAGTTCTACACCCTGGTGACGTTTAAAGGGGTGCGAACGGTGTTTTTGTGGGGGGTTTTGTAAGTGTTTTACGGCACTCGAAACTGCATAAGGTCATAGGAGCGCGCGGGACACATTCAACTTTTTCAGTTGGTAGTAAATTTTGAATTTTGTCCAGGTGGAGGCCGAAGCCTACTCTTATCGATTTTAGACTGCCAAGGGATATTTAACGAGCGCAACTTGCACACAGGCCCTCCGAGATTTATCGCCCTTGTCTGGGAAGCCTAGATGTAGATCTTGCCTACCAGAAGATCAGGGGCGTGGCTGAAAGACAGCGGTAAGAAGGAGCCAAAGAGTAGCAATAGAAAGGCTGTAGAAAGAGTCAGGAGCCCAGAGGAGCGGGCAAAGAAGGTGAGGGGTTGGGGGCAGAAAGAGGAGACGAAAGCAGACGACAGAACATTGCTGGAGAGCAGGAAAGGAGGTTAAAGGAGACAATTTTAGAGAAGAACATTTTTCGGTAGCTACCCGGATTCGAACCCGGGACCTTTGAATGAGAGGCCAACACCTTAACCTCTAGGCCATGAGATCGTCCTGCGACCGGTGTGTGTTTGACCTGAAGTGGTCGTTTTGTCTAAGAATTTTTAGTTCTGATTTTCTACAGGTCCTAACTGATGGACTGTTTCCACCCTTGACATCAAAGACGACCTTAAGGGCACTTAAACTGTATTTCCGTACCTTGTGCGAAACTTACGAAAAGAGTTGGTAGTGACCAAATGTTCAAAAGAAAAAAGTCTCTGCTCTTTACAAATTTTAACCATGATCTCAGATGACAAAGTAAACTTGAGAAAAACTAACTGCTAACGTCTGTTGGCCTGTTAGACTACTGTAGTTTGCAATATGGCGTAATCGTTGGGATTTTTTGTGGTAGGCCTTACGCAAACTAGCGTGTCATGCTACAAAAATGGGGACAGCTGAAAATGGGCTGTTTTTTACGCGCTATGAAGAGCTAAACTATTCTGTGGATTTATCTACAATGTTTTTGACTTCCAAATGTTGTGTACAAGTTTGAAACACAAAAATTCAGTGTGGAGGAAAATATTGTAAAAAGTTGTATTTTTGTTATTACCATGTACATTGGAAATCTGGAGGTTCAATGATCGGTGTGCAATTTCCTTACGTTAGAAAACAAGACTCTTTTCTTTCTGCATGCACCTATTCTTCAGAGGGTAATATACATAAGGTGACAACACTGGTCTAGATAATGACTCAACGAGGGTTGAACTGAGTCATCAAGACTGCTATATTATGGAGACATCCAAGTACAAATCAATACACTTTTTTGGCACGCTTCTTATAGACAGCTTATCCCTTCCATATTCATACCAACATTATGCTGCCAATGCCAGACCTGGGCTTTAAGTAAAACCAATGAAAGCAATACTATTAATACATGCGAGATGAAATGTCTCTGCAAAATCCTAAACACCCTAATAAGAGATAGACAGAGAAATGAAGATGCAAGAGTTAGAGCAGCTGTTGGCACCGAGTCCTGCTTGCACTTCACAGAAAAGTAAAGACTTAAATGGTTTGGCCATCTGTTACAAATGCCACCAAGTCAGCCAGTCTCAACAGCCTCTAACGCCAAGTACTCAGGCTACAAAGGAAGAGGTTGGCCCAGCCAAAGATGAATAGAGGGAGCTCAGGGAACCCTGAGAAACTACATCTCAATCGAAAGAACTTCAGAGTTGGTTAGCAATAGAAAACGGCATCTCCTCTCAACTCTCAACGGCAACCGGGGATAAAAAAGTAAAAGTGAAGACAGGTTTAAAAGCTTCTTATAGAATTTGGACAGCTTCAGATTTCTTTGCTCTTTTTGTCCAAACCTACTAGCCGGGGTTCACACATTGTTACAATAACGATAAAACAAGAGCAAGGTAAAGAGAATTTGATGTCATTTAGATACCTTAGTCTTAGAGTTGATTCAGATTTAAAAGAATATATATAGGGATACCGATGGTAGAGGAAAAACTCATAAGCTGGTGACTGTTATCAGTTCCTTTGTTCACGTGTCCGCATGATGATGACGAAAAAAAAAAGAAGAAAAAAACAAAAGAAAAGAAGACAGAAAAAGTGTAATAGTGAGGCCTACAAATTTAAACACTTCTGGAGTTGTATAACCTATTTCGCAAGCTCAGTTTGCACTTTTCAAATGAAGTAAGAGGCTGTGGTTATCTCTACGTACTAAACAAAACAAATACAAGTTTCATACCTGATACTGTCACAAGTAAACAGCTGAGGAGAACGGCGGTCCCCAATGACGAGAGTCCACTTCCACTGGTCATCTTGAAAACGTTTGTGTAACTTGACCGGCCAAACACTACAGAACAGACCATTCGCCCATCGCTAAGTTTTCTCACTATTTATGCTTCAGAGAGAAAAAAACAACTTATCTCTTATTACGAAAGTTCTCGAGTTTCGAGACAAAGTGCAAGCCATGCTAAGTTATTTTAAAAAAATATATCTACGTGTTCCTGATTATCTAACAAAAAGCCTGTCGCAGAAACATTTTCAGCCCCCCCCCCCTCTCTCTCTCTCTCTCTCTCTCTCTCTCTTTCTCTCTCTCTCTCTTTCTCTCTCTCTCTCTCTCTCTCTCCCTCTCTCTCTCTCTCTTTCTCTCTCTCTCTCTCTCTCTCTCTCTCTCTCTCTCTCTCTCTCTCTCTCTCTCCCTCTCTCTCTCTACGCTACGTTTGTGGGTGTGTGCATGTGTGAGGTGGGGGAACTGGGGAGGCGGGGGTGTCTGCCTGTGTGTGTGTACGAGTGTGTGTTTGTGCGTGCGTATGTATTTGTGTGTTTGGGTGTGTATATGTGAGTGTGTGCAGTGTGCATATATGTGCACAGGTGTGTGTGTGTGTGTGTGTAAGAGATAAATGGTTTCCTCTTGCCTCTCTCTGCCTCTCGTTCTGGCCTCTTGTTGCTTACAAACGTCCTAGCATCCGCGAGAGAGAGAGAGAGAGAGAGAGACGCATACATAGCCTTCTATTAATACAGTTATAGTGGTCTATATTTTGTATTTGGAGCTGTTGACGTTTTCATCGCTTGCTGTTGGTGTTGCTCTTTTCGCTTCTCTGGCTGTTGTTCTTAAAATATTTTTTTTTGCATGACGCATCATGCCGTAATAATTCACGTTTGAGATGTCGTAGAGACAAGCCATTCTATTTGCCGTGACAAACATCTGTAAAACAATTTGAACCTTTAATAATGAAGTACTGGAAACAAAACAAACCAACAACAAAAACCGTAAGAAAAGAAATGTAGGAACCTGGACACAATGTCTAGACTTTTTTTTCACGAAAGAACGTAAAGTGTTTTGTGCTTATCTCAACTATGAGAATAGTACATTCTGGAATTATCGCCACCTGTCACAACAAAATGTATTGGTTGGAATTGTTCGTCCTTAAAGTAAAAACTGTTTTCGGCAGTGGAGTATTCTCAATGGTCTCGCCTAACTCTATAACACAATACAAATACATACATGTAAACGAACTTCCATTGAATGTGATAGACACCGGTAACACCATGGAATATACTATGTAAAAATCGCTATAAACAGAAAATACAGTTTCCCCAAATACCCCCCCCCCCCTTTTTGTCCTTGACAACATGCTCGGATTTGTAAAAATTGTTTTTCCTTTATTTATTTTTTAAAATTGATTTTTATTGATTTGAAAGGTCAATGGCTCATACATCCACGCATTATGACATGCCTCCGTAAATACATTAATCGGTGCAGGACATCACATAATTTTCATAAATTAGGCACGCACGCATGCTCGGACCAAACAAAATATCGCATCATTGGAGAAAATAATGATGTGAAAAGGGAGTTTGGGGGTGGGGGTTAAGTGAATGTAATAACTCTATATAAGATATGATTACTTTGTTATCCCAGAGGGAAATTGTTCTTGGCTGTACAGGACAGTAAAAACACATTAATTAAATTGTATATTACTCTCATTAACATTCAATATTAAAAGAGGAGTAAAGCTTACAAAATGTACATATCACATGAGATGCATCAGTCAACCACGAGCAGGAATTTAATTACAAGACCTTTAGGTACCGAGATCTGTAAGAGCCTCGTCGCCACTGAGCAACTGATATATCGGATCTAAAGAGACATTTTTAATTTAAATAGGCTGGGGAGGTGTTGGGGGGGGGGGGCAAGGGTGATAGAAAAAGGATAGAGAAAAATAAATAATATTATGTTTTGTTATGAAGAGAGCAGGACCTGAACGTTAGATGGTGCTGTTTCTCATACCAGGTCGTCTCTAAAGCACAGCTATAGATAGTGAGATAGCCCATATATTGTTTTTTTGTAACTACATGTACGCATTTTCAAGATAGAGGCGCATTTTTTATAGTGTGGTGAATATACTGCATTGATATAGAATTTGCCTGGCTTACGTAAACACACACACACACACACACACACACACACACACACACACACACACACACA